AAGCAACGAGAATTTTGTACAGGCACACAAACACGGGATAAGCAGATGTTTATACAACTGCGACATGTGCCAAGGCATAAACGGTGTGTATGGATACAGTTTTGCCACCCGGTGGTGGTTGTTAGATATGCAGAGCCGGGTACACGTGTATCTAAGCAAATGAGCCATAATCTGGTGGCAAAACAGAAGCGTGCCTTATCTCGCGACTTCTGCTTCCGCTCTTAACGACCCCTTTTGCCCTTTTCCAATTATGCGACCAGCCTGGCAGCGGGACGGTTCTTTGAACCCTGCCCTGCCCCAGCAGTGCACGCGTGAATAAATACACTTTTCGCAAGTTGCGGAACAAACCGTCGAGGCACGCGGAAGATCGGCCAGATGTTAAGCGACGATATGAACGTTAGATGCTACTTGTGCAACGCGTTCCATCGGACCTATCCTCCGCCGGAAATAGATTCAAGTACATGGACACCGATGGCTCGCTTGCTTACAATTATGCATCGACTCGATTCCCCAAGGCTGTTCGTCCACGATCGCAGAGCGACGCGTGGGGCGTTTGAACCGTTCACGCTTGCATGCGTCTTAAAATAGTTAGAACACTTCCTCGGGCTTCGAAACGAACGCTTACAAGTTTGCGTCTGTTTAAAAAAATCATTAAACATTTCCCTACAAAGCTCTCTTTCAACTATGGCTTCTAATAAAAATAATAAAGGAAAGACTCGGCGAATTTTATTGCGAGTTCACGTGTTTTGCGTTCAAAGTCATGACGACGTTGATCAGGGTTGGGAATCGCGTTGGGGCGCGACGCTAATGGTAGTTTGCCGATGGCACGTGCATGACGATCAACCTAAATCGCGAGAAACGCTTTCATCGCGAAAAATAATAGACCCTTCGATCTTTATCGAGCGAGGAGGAACTATCACTGGTTAGATACGAATTATGCGTGACTTGCACAAGTTTTCAATTCGTTTATCTTGTCTAATAAAATATTTGATCGTAACTGTACTGAATACTTACTATTCGAGGAAAACATACTAAGACGAGATAGAGAGAGAGAGAGAGAGAGAGAGAGAGAGAGAGAGAGAGAGAAATCACATGGCGGCGGTATTTCATAATAAAGTGACGTCAGACGCGCGTGCAGCGGAACTATTACAGTAGATCATGAATCTTAAACTTGAAAAAATCGTCTAGGATATCTGAATCTATTTCCAGTTTGTCGCATTTATAGTAATTTCAAAATAAAATATCATCTCGGTTATTTATTTCTAAAATCATATATCTAGATACGAAGGCAGCTGAATTTTAACTTTGTACAAACACTTTGACTGCCAAACAAAATATTACTTTCAATTAAAAAGTGTATAATGATACATTTTCACATTTTATTAGCCTTATGTGCTGTTAATTATCTTTCGAAATATCACAGCCAAATAACAGACAACATATCCATCACCCTGATCTGGGTAATACAGCTCATTGAAAACATTATGCGTCTCTTGAATTTGGCAGTCAAAAGTATTAAAGAGTATAATGACGATGCGATGTCTGAAAATGATATCCTATTGAATTTGTGGCTGAACGATTTAATCTGGGACGAGTGGACAGATGCGACTGTTGTACGAACGTAAAAACGAGTTGAGTTTCGCGTAAGTTGACCAAATATCGATCGGTCTGCAACGGAGGGCCTAGGCGCTTAAAGTGGAATAATACAATTCCAGAAACACTACAACGGTTCGACGGGGAACGGTGAAATGGCCGGTGAAGTGCGCGTGTCATTCCTCCGTAAAATCGTAGAATAGCGGGCGTCAATTGATCTACAAGGCTCTAAAGAATTTACAACCCGTCGCTTATCCCGAGATACCATCGTCGCTTGTTAATCGCATGATTGCTGTAATTCACCTTCACTATACGTCAGCTGCGACCATTCTATCGGTGCAAACATGCAGTATAGCTCATTACCCCTGCGATATTTAAATTAATAAAATACTCGGTTTCGAAGAATTGTGAAATGTTTTGGAAATAGTAGTTACGAAAGATTATGTCATTGTACCTCTACGAGCGATAGTATACGTGCGTTTTATTTTGTATAACACACGATTCATATTCGTATACACATTAAGATGGAATTAAGCACGTAATATACGATTGCGAGCCTCGCAGACACCCGCAATTTGCTGTTCGTTACGCAGTCGCACGAACGAAGCCATGCATGTTCTTTGAAAAACGATTAAATCGTGCCTGTCGAACAGCAGAGTTACGGCACGATGCACGAGGCGATTGGGGCGAGGGGTCCTCATTTGCCAGTCAAAACGAGAGAATTTTTAAAACGGTGACCGGCAAGGTCGCGGACAATCATTGACCAGTCGTCGCTTTCTCCTTCTTGTCTCCCTTCCTTTTTCCGTAGGTGAAAATGAAAACAATCTGTCACACCCAAGGCGAGAACCGCGCTCCGCGGGGAGAGAGCGTGCCGACGAGAACGAAAGTAAGAAACGTAAAGAGAATGTAATTCAAGTGCAAGGTTGTGGTTACTCGCGGATTGTTACAAAACTTGCGGATGTCGAGAGACCTTCGTGTAAACGAGAACTTTAGTACGATGACGTTATACATGACATACATATAGCACACGGCGGGGTAGAGAGAGAAGAAGAAAGAGAGAGACCGTTCAACGAAGGGGTCAATCGTACGTATTAATCATTGGGTAAATGCCACTTACATTTTCCCGTGATCCGCCATTCGGGCTGCGACGTGTCAGTGGACCAACGCGTCGTATTCGTGGCCTCCTCGAAACCGTCCCTCGTGTCTGGCAGCGGGCCGTGCTCGCACCTTCTACCACACGGTGCGGGAAACGGCTGATCCTACCGAAACGAATCCCGAACCGCGTAAAACACCACGGCGATCAGGAGGCGAGATCGGGCGGTGTACGCGGCGACATAGAGCCGGTTATTGTTCGTTGAAACGAATTAACGAGGAAAATAACCGCGTGCGCGATTCCAATTGTTTCGTACTATTCACCGCCGTCTCCGGCTGTCTCGCTCCTTCTCGCTCTGACCAGCCACGGACGTCGCACCAAACAAACGACTATCACCGCGATCGATTCACTGCGACGCGAACGCCCGACACGCGCGTCTCACGATGCGAAATTACGACGTTCTCTGAATTGTCTTCGCGTAATGATGCCACGAAACGAAACGTCTTTTTTCCGGCGAGAATGCAATTAGGACACTACAGCACTCCCGGCACAGACTGTCATTGATTGTTGACGAGCGTCCAGGTCGGTTGTGAGAAACACTACCGACATCTGCCGGTGGTTATGAATAGAGTCGCTCGGTCGAGGTAGTTTCGATTTGCAAGTAGGAAACTGCATAACAGCGTGGAGAAATTATCGCTCCAAAAACCTTCATGCTCCTGACTGAAATATTGGAAATAAGTTCATAAATCATGATTGTGAAAAGAATTTTTGGCGACTCGAAAAAAATTTTTTTACCATTTGATTGTCATTGTCTATGCTACCGACATAGTCACAACCGCGGAATGACATTAGCTTTGAAAGCGAATTAGAGAATGTGCTATTTTTAAGGATTTATTGGCTATACAGTCAATCCCAAAAGTTTATGCACTTTAGAAACGCATTTTTTAAAAAGAAATCAGACGTCGATAGAACATTGCTAATAATAAACAACAAAAAAAATTTTCGATTTTTCCGAGATTTTTCCAAGGGGTACCCCTTCAATTTCTTCCAAAATTTCGTTTTTTGCCAATAACTCCCAAACGGATGGATCTACGGGAAAATTGCATCAGACCTTTCTTGTAGAGGACGACGAGATCTACAATTTCCATATAAAAATTTTCCGCTAGCATGAAT